CCCCCCCCCCCCCCCCCCCGACCAGCTAATCACTGACCTGTGTCTGAGCAGTGGTAATCACTCCATGTGTCTCCTCTCTATCAGATTTATCTCGCTCAGCCATTTGCTCGGGACCTGATTTGCATAGTCTAAATGTCTCTTTTTCAGAACCGCCATGTGTTGACTGAGATAGCTCATTTTTTCTGAGAACTGTACAAAAAGTGTGTAATTTTGATTCCCAGATACATAAACTGGGTTAGGGGGGAGACAGTTCTGCATATCAAAGACGATGCACACACACTTTTAAGGAGAGTGATCTACATGAGAAGATGAGTGCTGAAGATGAGTTCATGCACTTAAACTGGAAAACTTAGAAAGCAGTTGGTGATTATTTGGTTTGATCCTTTTTGTTTTCCTCAATACTCGAGTTCACCCACACACAGAAATGAGAACCCGGGCAGGTCCATCTCTGCTGAGCGGCGAGGTTAAGAGCGCTTTCATTCCATCATTCTGTGGACGGCAGGCACAGTCTGTGAGTGGACTGGAGCTCGGCTCTCCTCATTAACATGGAAGTCACCGACTGCCAAGTCTGACTCACGAGATAAGAGGTCACCTGCTCCACCTCTGACCCAGTTTTATTTACGCCCTCTTCTTGCTGAACGCGCTCCCGTCCAGTCCACCGAACCTCTCCTTTGAGAAATTGATCAAAGGAAAAATTGTATGTTTGTCAGGACAGATGTAACATATGGGCTTGAGCTTTGTATTAATTATTAAAGAATAGTCGTGGCGCCACATCACAGCAACTTTGAAAAACCATTAGACTTGTTTTGGCAGCCTTTATTGTGATTTCTTACATGAATGAATTTAATCAGTAGCAATCAGTTCTTTAGAATAAACATGCTTTAGAAAAAAAACAAAATGATCCACTTGAATCAAAACTGTACAGACCATCGGGGCTTTTTCTCACCAAGGCTTTGACATGCTAAATTATTCATTTACAACCAGATTATGTCACAACAAAAACCGGAGGGGAAGCACTGATTGAAATTTCATTAAAAACCCTTTAAAAAATAAGGGAAAAATGGAGATGTATCAAAGAGAAAACAGGAATGATCACATTTGAATTTCCCTCCCATTGTAAAAGTCAGTCCCCTCATGATTTTCTGCTATTCTGTAAGTAAGAACAATTTCTAATGTACTTATGTCTGATTTTCTGCTACATATCATCTGCATGGGGTCGCAGACTGGCGGATTGCGGGGGCATGAGCGTCACCGTGGCGATGTGGCCGGTTATGGGGTCTACTTGATAGTGGCCCGCTCTGCCCTCCTCACTGATGTTTTGGGCCACGGACTCCAAACCGGCCCGTTCCTGTTCCACCGCCATCTTCCCCATCAGCGCAGAGATATCCTCCAATCCCTGTTCCCCGGAGAAACGCCGGTGCACAGGCTCAGAGTCATCCTCCTCGGAAATTGGGGAATCGATGACGTGCAGCACCCGCGAAGCCTGAAGGTTCTGCAGGGACCGTGACTGGACTGAGAGAGGAAAAAAGACAGAAAAAAAAAAAGGTGGAACCTGAGTGGGCATGAAGCTTTACTTACGCTTTCGTCTTCCTGAGCCAATGCCGAAGTAGACAAACGCGTTTGACTGAATTTGTGTGAAAACAGAAACCCTACTTGAACACATTAAAGACTTTTAACCTTTAATAGACAGCAGAATCTCTGTAATATATCATAACCCACATGTCAAAAAGACTTACATTCTTCCAGGGAAGAAGTGGAAAACCTTTTTTATTTGGATAAATCTCTTATTTAAGGTCTTTAAATGATCGGTGAAGTCTGGGAAAGAGCCCAAAAATGAACTTTTCTTAAGTTATTAAAAACACCCCCTTTATATAGCACTGCCTTAAATCCTTTGTCCCCACTTATATGATTCTGACATCATGAACACGTTTTATTCCAGTGTGATAAACGTTGCAGGGATGATGAGAGCTAACTCTGGCTATATTTAGAGATTCTAAATGGCTTCTGATCTGTGAGATTTCTGGCTGATAAACCGTCAGGGATGCAAATACGGCCTTGAAAGCGCGAGCCCTCGGTTCTAACGAGCTCTGCGTCGGACAGCCTAAAGCCGTTTGGCTCTGAAGGTTACTCACTTCTGACTGGACTGAAGTCTTCTTGGCTGACCTTACTGTCAGAGAAAGGCTTGAGGCTGGGGAACAGGATTAGGGAGAAGGACAGCAAGAGCACCTACAAATAAAGGACAGAAGTCACAGAGTTAGGACAGAACCAGTGGTTTTTTTTTGCTTTGGCTATCCACATAACGTGAAGTTTGAATATGAAAAAGGTCTAATTATTATTCTGACACGCAGTGCATTCTGCAGCAGAATATTATTAGACCCAGGTCCATAACTTCTCTCGTCTCTTGGGACGTTTCTCCTGTTTAATGCGACATTTTACGCTTTTCGCTTATGCATAAGTCATATTTCCCGCAGTGGGTAAATTAGCTCTTTGGATTGGTGTTCAGGCAGCTTTTTTTTGTAAAAAGCCGTGTCAGAATGCTTACCAGTACACATGTTCCAGTCTGCGCCGGCTTGTTTGATGAATTCATGACCAGAGCCTGAAGTCTGCGCAGTTGCTCCATTAACGATCTGCCAGAGAAACATTGGACACGAGGCAAATATAATAGAGAGGGAGCAGCGTGACGGGATTAATAATGAGATTTTGGAGATAAGAAAAAAATGCCAGACAGAGTGCCAAAGACAGTTTCTGAACACAACTATCATGACAAATAGCAACAGGACCACAGGGAGGAAAACGAAGGCTCACATGTTGCATTTCTCCAACTGGGAAACTTTCCTCTGCAGCTCCTGGTTGTGCGCAGTGCACGCAGCCATCCTAAAGCAAGTGATGAGAGCAGAGCAAAGAGAAAATCCCTCAGAAAACGAACTGTTTTTATGACAGACTTGAAACAAAAGTTGATTTGTAGGCGTATTCTGAAGATTTTCACCATGTACAGTGTATGTTTATGGGGTTTTTTTAAACTCCAAAGTGTATGCATTTTAATTTGAACACAAATAAAGTGCTTACTAGAAAAATAAGAAGTCACGACTGAGAGAAAAAACAGAAAGTTTGACGGTGGAAAAGATGAGAGGTGAAAGTGTAGAACTTGAGGATGAGAGTGTCTGGATCAGATAAATCACTCATAGATGATTAAACCATAGAATAATGATAATAATAATAGCAGTAGTGGGAATGAGCTCACATTGAGCTGATTATTAGGATGATTAAGATTCTGCTGTGTAATTGTTTTCTTAGTCGACTGCCTGTGCTTCTCATTATGAATTTGGCATAAGTAGATGTTTGTTTTCCCACTCTTTGTCAGCGTCTTCTGGCTCAAGCTCAATTTCAGACAATAAATATTCAATCAAGATGTGGTTTTCCTCTCACAGGCCTTGGCACTGTTTGCTTTTTGTCCCCGTGTGCTGAAACACAGCCCTCTTATGTGCACAAAGCTTCATTCACATGAGACGCCCAAAGATCTTTTCCATTAAGAACCATAATACAACTAAAAAAGTAACCGGTAACCGTCTTTTGTTGCTTCTCTCTTAATCTGGTCGGTGACAACCTGTGGTTTCCTCCTGCCTCTTTGCATTTACTCAAACTTGGAAATGCAGCCTTGAGGAGACGAAGGCCTTGCTTTCTCTCACACTACTCGAATTACAATAAGCCAAGAAGTTATTACGGATATTATTGCCCGGCACTGCCAAGCTATTACAGCCTGTCCCAGCTGTGCACGACATATGGCAAAGGCCAGTATCGAATCACTGAGACATGAGGGCGACATTCGCGGCCCGCTGAAATGAACTGCCTCAGAGTAAAATGGAAAAACAATCATGCAAATGCGTTTGGATTGGGACACTGTTCCTCTGTAACGGCGTTTGTTGTTGTGGCATCACCATTACCGTCTGCTTTTGTGCGTTCACGGCTCACCTGCTCTCCAGCCCATCGATGTATTCTTTTTTCTTCTTCCGGCTCTCCTGCGCCGACTGCTTGTTCCGAATCTTTCGGCGTATTTTCTTCAGAATCCTTTCTTCATACTGATCGACAGAGGAGTAAACATTTGCGGGAACAGATTTAGAGACAACCATTGTCACTGTCCGGGTATCGATGGCTACTTGCCTTTGTCAGAGGCAGCTGGCTGGGCAGAGTGACCCCCTCCTTTGCCAGAAGCTTCATCTCATCTTCATTGAGAATCAATTCTTGGATTGACTTTTGCGATGGTTGTGGGGGCTGTTGGGGGAAAAATGAATACTAATATTAAAACACCAACCGTTGCTGTGATGGTATTTGGCCCCCTCTCATTACCCATGCAACCCCTCCCTGCAGGCTTTCAGCTCACGTTCATCACTCTTTCATGGCCACTTCAAATCAATTATGGGTTGGAATTCTGTATTGCATTCAGCCACTCTCCGCCTCGTCTTCTTAAACTGCTTTGAGGATTTGGGATGGGCGCTCAGAGTGAGCCCGGCCCGTCCTCACCTTTCTTCTTCTGCCGGCATCTCCACGCGCCGACAAATTATTCTGACCTTGTGCACGCGATACTTTCTCTGTGAGCTCCGTCGTCATTAGAATATTTCAAACGTCGAGGAGAGAAACCCCTCTCACAAAGGGGCTGCTGCGTTTGCATAATCGCAAAGTCTATTGACTTTAATTAAGTCAAGTCTCAAAAGTCAGGAGGTAATGAACACACAATGGAGGCTCAGACAAACCACCAGCTCCAACAGAATATTAATGTGGGTCTTTAGTGTATTCCTCCACCCAGACATCCCGCTCCACAGATCTTTTCCATAGACAACATTTCATTGCAAGTTCCAAAAGTATTTCCCTGTGGTGAATTTTGATTTCACACAGTGTGCTCATCCTTTTTCTAACCCCAACCCAAAGTGCGCAGTCTCGATTATGCACTAAAATAAACAATGCATTCTGCATATCAATCGAGCTTCCAAATACCCAGAAGGCACAGCTTTTCTTCCTCTCTGGCCACCCGTACCATCCCGGTTGACTCTGCCAAACATAACCGGGTTAGACCTACCGGCTCGGTCGTGCCGGACAGCAGCAGGTCTTTGACGGTCAGCGGGAAGCCGGAGGACAGCTGCGGCCCGCGCACATCTGAGAGGGACGGGGTCATCCTGGCTCTGCCCGCCGGGAACCCCATCTCCCACCCATCTGCAGAGTTAAAAACACAGAGAGCATGTTGGCAAATGTCTAAAAAAAAGGCATTATTGTTTTGAATAAATGTAGAAAGAAAAGTCAAAGCATGAAAAAAAAGCTCAGAGGGCACTTTTTGCTTCACAAATCTGAGAGATTGATGATTCCAGTCAGCTAAGAGCAGGTGCTATGATGTCTCATTTAGACAATAGCACAGCTTTATCCTCTCAAGGCTTCAGTGATAGATATATAAAAAGTACAAATCTAAATGCCAAACATGAACACAATCCTTTAAGACAGGTTCAGTCAGAGGACTAATGTGTCAAAAACAAAGGAAAATGCAAAGAAACCTTTATCCTACAGGCAGAAACAGATGAAAGATTAAGATCTTACATAAAAAGGCCCATCACTTTGAAATGTAAAAGCCGAAATGACAAGAAAAAGTTACCCCTGTTGGGATATTTTTTGTACTTGGACACAGGAGAAACACCATAATTCACGGTACTCCTTTTAGATTTAAGTGACGATTTGAAGGGGCGGTATCTTTTTAATAGATGAAGTATTCCTCGGTTTCATAACCCGTCATGTTTTGGACGTGAGCCACTCACTAAAGCTGACGTCGGCCCCCGTGCCAGCTTTGGTTTGCGGCGCCGCAGAGCCAAAATACTTTGTTTCCTCGGGGGGGCTCTCTGGACGCTGGGGGCTGTCCATCTGGTCGGAGGGGGGGTCCTCGCTGATGCCGCTGTCGCTGGGGGCCGGAGACCACAGCGGGGAGGCCGACGCCGAGTCGCCCCCCCTCAGGAGGGCGTTGAGAAAATCCTCGTGTTCCTGCCCGGCCTGCTGCAGAATCTGCTGAGAGAGAGAGAGAGAGGTGTGTTTTTTTCTGTGAAGAAATGTGCCGCACGCCACAGGCAGAAAAATCTCATTTCTGCAGAAAAAAAACGTTTTAGGTGACACTCAATCCCGACAGCCTTCTCACACACACGTTGGGCTCCTGGTACGGCCAGTTGTGCTGGTTGCCATGGTGCCCCGTCTCCTCGTGGCGCAGGATTCCGTCGTTTTTGTCGAACAGCCAGTCCAGCAGGTCGGTGCAATCACAACCCTGGAATGAGACGTTAAATGGATAAAAAAAAAAAAAAATCAAACGGTGACACCTTTTGTGTTGTTACGGTTACGCCAGATGAGTCAAGGAAGTCCCACGGTTTGATGTGCAGCAACACCAGAATGGCCCCAAAAACACACAGTCCACAGTCATTTTACACATTCAGGTTTTTAAGTCTTCCTCCCATTCTAATTGGAAAGTTTTCCATATTAGTTTAGAATCAAGCTTGAATGTGGCTCATTGGGACTTTCCAGCTTCCTGTTCCACAGAACCTCCATTCATTAGAAAGCAAAGACTAAAAACCCGGACACTCACTTGATCTGGGTAGTGCTCCATGGTTTGCTTGTTGTCGTTCCTCCTTCCAAAACAAGTGAGATCCAGTCCAAATATCTGATATTTGTTGTGGAAAAACTCTTTTTTCTCTTCCTAAAGAGTCTCGGCTGTATCTCCCAGGTCCTCTTTCTCAATTCCAAAGTTCAAACTCCAACGCAGCACACCCAGCTGACTCCTGAACTTTGTTGCTATTGGCTAACGGGGGAGATAGCCGTAATCTGCCCCGCAGCAGAGAGTACACAACCAACTACCCCCAGTCTGGAGCCGGAGGACCAGAAGTCTCAGGCAGAATATGAGACATCAGCGAGGCCAAAGTCCGGTGCTTCCTTTCTGCTTTTTTCCTTCCTTGATAGCGTGTTGACATAAAGATAGCTCTGACCTTTGGACCATATTCATAACACAAAAGCTCAACGGACAAGTTAATCTGAGAGCCAGTCAAAGATTTCTGCTTTCTCAAAATGGAGTAAATCCTTTCTTTTTTTTTTTTTTTTTAAAGACGTGTAGTGTTGTTTCATTGTTTCTTTATAATTACATATTGTGTTTATCTGAATAAACGTTGTGTCAATTCCTGTCTTTCCTCCATTTGTCACCAGGACTGTTGAACGTCAGCTCTGTTCAGTCAGCCTGAAACATTCCTGTTTTGTTTGGAGCAGCTAAAGTTAAAAACTGGTATTATGGGGCTTGCATTGATTACATGAAATGATTGAATAATAACAGTACAAAAATCAAATTTACATCAAGGCTGTTAATTCTAATCTGTGGCAGAACATGACAGAATGAAACGATACACAAAAACGGGGGCTGTGAATGGAAGAACGCATCGATTCGTTAATTATTTTGTTAGTGTGTAATAATGTCCACAAAGGCAGTCACACAGGAAAGGTGTCGCAGACTTTAAGTCTGTTTGACAGTTTTCAGATACAAGCAGATTTTCAGTCAGCTACTTTTTTCACAAATGTCCTCTTTTAGCAAATCAGCTCATTGAACCAGTAAATCGCTCGTAGTCCAAATCTGCAAAAAGCAGCTTGAATCAGTGATAGATATCAAATTATTCTTCTTAAAACCTCACATGATTGTCACTTTGTGACACCAAGACATCAGCCGCACTGTTATCTTACAACAGATTCATCAAACCGGCAATGATGTCATCGCCTGTAACCCTCCCTTTATCACAGCGGGAGCTCTGAAGACTCATTGGGATGGGTGACATGGATCTTCTTTTTGGTATTAAAGCTCCCAGGTGCCAAAACGCAGAACAGACAGACAGCAGCGTGATGAATAACTCAGCGGAAAAGTTTCTCCTCTGTAACTTTGTGGAGCAGCATCAGCTGTCAGATGCCAGCCGGCCACAAGTGACCGCTGTGGCTCCGTTATCTGAGGGCAGAAGCCCTAATTATTCCTCCATCTTGGGCTTTGTTGAGATGTTTACGAGGCGTTCAACGCCAAACACAGACAGGGGAAGATAGAAATTTGGCGAATTTTGAAAAGTATCCGTGAACCGGCACATTCAGGGGAGAAATGGCAGCAACTTCTCCTCTAAATGTCAAAATGTTGCTCCATATTGGTCGGTGAATTCGCCCATGTGGAGGTTTTTCTGTGAAACCCCACAGCTTAACAGATGGCCGCTCTGATTTATGAAACACGGAACCAGACATGAGTTTATTCCCCCAAAGGCAGCCGAAATCTGGACCCTTTTTGACTGCATAATGTTTGTAGTGTCTGGTCTCTTCCAGGATAATTTCCCTTTGCCCAACAAAGTGAAATTGCTAAATTTCTGGATGAAACAGCTGGAAGTGTTAAATGACTTTGGTTTTTCAGCAAAGTCCATGTTTCATTTTTTTTTTATGGATCTCAGTGACAACATGACAGTGAAGGCTGCTTTTATGGCAAATCGTGACACCCTCACCCATCAAAAAATTAATCTAGGGATAAAAAAACTACCAGTTTTTTTCTGATATCTTGTGAGCAAAACATGATGATGAAGATTCTCTGCCCAATAACAAAAAGTTTATGTTAAAAAAAAGAAAAGAAATATGATTTTACTTTATTCACCCTTTTTTTACTACACTGCACATAAAACTCAGACTCAGAAGAGGAACTTAAAGTGAGATAGTTTTGAAACAGTTTTGATCCTGAGAGCAGACTGTTAAAAAGATGATTAATTTACAACGTTTAGAGTTACTGTTTAATTGTTAAGTGAATCAGTTTGAGTCCAGGTTTTTGGGAGAGCAGTTTACATCTTACAATATGGCAACAAGTGGAGATCCAATGAGGGAAAAAGTGATCCAGTGATGAGAGGCAAAGACCCCCCCCGCCCCCCCCACCAAACTCCCATAACCTGAGCATCATTAACCTCCATCGATTTGGAATCTAAAAGGCAAATTTATTGAGCAAACTGCCTGTAAAAAAAGCAGGAACAGTCTTTGGACTGTAAATTCATCAGCCTGACACAACATGAGTCCATTTTAAATTCTCAGGGAGGACTTTTAAAGTCAGGGACAGTTGCTATCGATGCATTGAGGTGGTGTTTTCAGATTTGACTTGAGCCAAACCTGAGCTGTGAATGATCTGCATTCTGCCTGTTGTTGATGAGTTGATATGACATTTGGAAAAGCACCATTAATTCCCCGGCTGAGTGTCCCACTTCCGCTAAATATTCTGGAAATCTGAAATTAGGGTCGGATTGCTAATTGAAAGTCGGAGGGGAAAATATGATAATGAGCCTCGGGGAAAACAAACACCGCGCTGAGATTTTAGCCGCCGAAGACCAAATGCCAATCATTACTGTAAATGCCATCCTGACAGGAGCAGCCACAACCCAAGACCTCCCACCTGGGAGGCTTTATTCTCACACATCCCCCCAAAAAAGACGAGAAAAGTAAAAAAAAACATGCCAGATTTTTCATTTGGTCCAACTGTTACAGTAGAAACGCTGTGCAAATGGAAATATTCTGATTGGATCATGTTCATAATAAAACCATGACCCCTTACATTAACACTCAGGTGAATTTTAATGGTGAACAAAGCACAGAACATTTAAGAGCTTTGGGCTTTTGTTGTAAAACACAGTGAAAAGCATTATTTTGTGTAAAAGTAGCAAAAGCCACTTAAGGTCCTATTCTTAGACATTAGCATTTCAGAACAGCTACAGGACAGCAGACTTATTTGCATTTAATCTCTCATTTGATTCCAGGTCAGCATGAAGGCGATGTGAATAACTTTGATCCAAGCGTTGCTTAATGTTTACAAAATGCCACCGAAAACAGGAAAAAAAACACCCACGCCGAGCTGCTCAACCCAGACAAAGATTCATACAGGCAATTATGCATTAACGTAGCCCGGACATGTAAAATGATCAGAATATTCATATCAACGGCACATGAAAAAAATGATCAGGCAACTGATCAATTTTTTTCATAGTTCAAACATTTATTTTAGGCCTGCTTTGCAAATATTTTGCTTGAATGATTTTTGTCACAGCATGCGTGGAATAAATATGTGGATTATTTATTTATTTATTTATTTATTTATTTATTTATTTATTTATTTA